CTAGACAGTCCGGGTTTTGAAAGCTGTTTCTGGGTTTCATGGCAGCTGAGACCCGGACACAAGATGTCAGGCAGACATGGGCAACCAAAATTAAGATAGGGGTTATAGCTGAAAATAGTCTTGACTGTGATATTTACATATAAATGGGTGGCACTATTTACACATGAATAAGCCGCAACTCATTTTACCCCAAAAATGTCCATGCGTCGCTAGAGTGTTCGGGTTTAACTGAAAAAAAAGGTGGGAACCCTAAGGCTGGGTTCACACCTAGGCGTATCGAATATGCGTGTTTGTCGCGCATTTCGCGGTAAAAAAACGCGCGACAAACGCTCGTTTCCGAGGGCTACTTGGCTGTATCCCATGGAAACGCGCGACAAAAACGCATTCATACGGCCTGTAATACGCCCAGGTGTGAACCATACCCATAGGAAATAATGGGATTTCGGTGTTTGAGCGTTTTGCAGAGCGTTCGAACGCGCTACCTAAAGCCAAGGTGTGAACCGGGCCTAACTTACCTTGATCTGACACCCTTGAGGGATTGTTTACATCCTGCACCACATGTTCTCTCTCTCTCCTGGCCGCACCTATGCTGTAGGGCAGGGGGTCAGCAACCTTTTACACACGCCATTTTTGCAACCATCAGACAACCGAGTGCCATTGAACAATAGTGCACCATAGTATTAGCAAATTTCAGTTTTTGCACTCAGTTGTACCGCTAATAATAAGTTAAACTCACTAATTATTTGAATGTGTTTACCTTGCCATTAGCAGCACAACTGTAAAGGTGCCCATACACTGTACGATTCTCGTACGAGAATCGCGGGAAATCCCGCGATCGTACGAGAATCGTACAGTGTATGGAAGGCGTGCGACCGTTTCTACTGTACGGTCGCATGTCTTCCATCGAACAAGCAGGCTGGAAAACCCGCAGGGAATCGTACGATTCTCGGCGAGTGAGTGGCCTGCTGGTTCGACAACTGACGAACGGGCTGGTGTGCGCACACGCACACTGCCCGTTTGCCGTCCTTGCAAGCTCGCCCCTCATTGCAGTCATCGCAAGCCCGCCCCTCAGGGTGGCGGGCTTGCGATGATCGCAAGTACGATCTGCCTGTCTAAGATGGGCAGATCGTACGTTTTTTTAAGTACTTTACAACCATCGCAAGACAAAAGTCTTGCGATGGTTGTAAAGTGTAAGGCCACCTTTAGTGAAAACATTTTATAACTATTGCACACACAAAATATATTTACATGTACTAAAACAGTAAACTGGACTTACAGTTTTAGTGTGATCCCTGTTTCTGTATTATCTTAAAACTCCAGACCAGCCCTAAACGCTGCACTTTCATAAAACACAGGCTTTTTACATACCTGCAGAGCTCAGATCAGCACCAATACATGGCAGAACTCAGACTAGCACCAATGCCCTGCAGACCTCAGACCAGCACCAACGCACAACAGACCTCAGACCAGCACCAATGCCCTGCAGACTTCAGTTCAGCAAAAAATACATGGCAGAACTCAGACCAGCACCAATGTCCTGCAGACCTCAGACCAGCACCAATGTCCTGCAGACCTCAGACCAGCACCAATGCCCTGCAAAGCTCAGACCAGCACCAATGCCCTGCAGACCCAAGAGCAGAACCAACCCACGGCAAACGCACACTGCCCGTTTGCCGTCCTTGCAAGCTCGCCCCTCATTGCAGTCATCGCAAGCCCGCCCCTCAGGGTGGCGGGCTTGCGATGATCGCAAGTACGATCTGCCTGTCTAAGATGGGCAGATCGTACGTTTTTTTAAGTACTTTACAACCATCGCAAGACAAAAGTCTTGCGATGGTTGTAAAGTGTAAGGCCACCTTTAGTGAAAACATTTTATAACTATTGCACACACAAAATATATTTACATGTACTAAAACAGTAAACTGGACTTACAGTTTTAGTGTGATCCCTGTTTCTGTATTATCTTAAAACTCCAGACCAGCCCTAAACGCTGCACTTTCATAAAACACAGGCTTTTTACATACCTGCAGAGCTCAGATCAGCACCAATACATGGCAGAACTCAGACTAGCACCAATGCCCTGCAGACCTCAGACCAGCACCAACGCACAACAGACCTCAGACCAGCACCAATGCCCTGCAGACTTCAGTTCAGCAAAAAATACATGGCAGAACTCAGACCAGCACCAATGTCCTGCAGACCTCAGACCAGCACCAATGTCCTGCAGACCTCAGACCAGCACCAATGCCCTGCAAAGCTCAGACCAGCACCAATGCCCTGCAGACCTCAGAGCAGCACCAACACACGGCAGAACTCAGACCAGCACCAACGCACAGCAGACCTCAGACCAGCACCAACGCACAGCAGACCCCAGACCAGCACCAATAAATGGCAGAACTCAGACCAGCACCAATGCACAGCAGACCTCAGACCAGCACCAACGCACAGCAGACCTCAGGCCACCACCAACGCGCAGCAGACCTCAGGCCACCACCAACATACAGCAGACCTCAGACCAGCACCAGCCCACAGCAGACCTTAGACCAGCACCAAAGCCCTGCAGACCTCAGACCAGCAACAACGCACAGCAGACCTCAGACCAGCACCAACGCACAGCAGACCTCAGACCAGCACCAATGCACACACTTTAGCTTGCATCAGCCCAAAAACAAAGTATGATTAATAAATAAAACAAAACAGTATTGTAGCAGCAGTCTCCCCTACCAAGATGGACCAAGACTTAAAGGGGAACTATGAGGTGAGTGAAAATCACTCATAGTTTGAGCCGACCTGTGACAATGAAACTGTCACACATCGGCTCAAGAGATCGAGAAGTGAGCTAACACATACCGTCGCTCGCTCACTTCTCGATCCTGTCCCGGCAGAGAGCCATGACTGTCACTCACGGCTCCCTGCAGGGATTCCCCCCCTCCCCTGTCCGATCCTCCAGCGCTGACTGGTGGAACGGACTGGGGAAGGGGGCAGGTACAGCTGTCAATCACGCAGCTGGGTGGATCTCGACATTAATGTTGGGATCCGTCCCGGCTGCGGCGGTCTCAGTATACCACGAGCTGTAGCTCGCGGTATACTGAGCTATGGGTCATGGGAGGACGCTAGTTTGTGTCCTTCCGTGGCCCTTAGCAGAACTATGGGGAAAAACACTGAGCCCATAGTTCTCCTTTAAGTATAAGGCCTCATTAAGGCTCAAGGTCAGGCGCGTTGCAAGGATTTTTGTGTACACAGGTGAAGGTGCATTTTTCACCCCCTCTAGGTCATAGCAGAGCCGCCTCCTCCAGCACACACATACACACGGCACGGAGGGCCTCCACCCAGCTCTTCTCTCCGTGTCACCCGCTCTGCCCTGCGATCATCCAGCGCTCTGCTAACAGTGCTGAGATGTAGGGCCAGTGGTTGGAGTTTTATAGCACAGGACCTGCTCAAGGGGCAGCTGCTTTGGGCCCCACAACAATGCCTGGTCTCTGGGCAGCTGCCCCTTTTGCCCTGCGTTAAAGACGGCCCTGATTGCAGGGTGATCCTCCGGCTCTGTGCACTGTGCTATGGGCAGTATGGTGACAAAATCAGACGGGGAACAGAAGATCCTCTCAGTCCGGCAGGCGGTTGAGCGATTCTCCTCCTTCGGTCCTGCGTGCTGCAGGTAAAGAATCCGCCAGGCAGGACCTCGAGCAGACCGTGGAGGGCCTCCTCAGTGCGGCTCCGCGCACGAACGTCATCTGGTCACGTTAGGGAGGTGGGTGGGACTTCAATCTGACATCTCGAGCGAGCTCTCAAATGCAAACAAAAAAATTAGTTTGCGTGCCAGCAGATGTGGCCTCGCATGCTAAGCCGGGCAGCGTGCCGCCGTGCCGGGGGTTGCCGACCCCTGCTGTAGGGCCTCGTCTATCTTCTATGGGATTCTACTGCACAGGAGAGACAGGACTTTCTGTATAGGATGTAAACTAGGGTGACCCCGGATTGAGGAGACCGTCCCCAGACAAATGATGTCCCCTGGAACATAAAATACTAAATATTTTATACTCACCTGATCCCTGGATCCACCGACGAGCCTCAGCTGCCTAATCGAACAGGAGGAGGTGAGGAGAGAAGCAGCAGGAGGGGGCAGGTCCAGATTACCATCGGGCGACGGAGGAAACCGATCCCGAAGCGCTAGTCGGGCACAGAGGAGGCCGGGACCCAGAAGTGCCAGTTGGGCGGCGAAGGAGATCGGGTGCCCGCAGTACCAGTGGGCCGGGTGCTTTGGGACCGGCTTTCTCCGTCAACTGACGGGAATCCGGACCGCCCCCCGACAGGGATCTGAACCCGCCCCCTGCTGCTGCTCCTCCTTGCCTCCTGCTTGAATAGGCAGCCAAGGCTCGTCGGTGGATCCAGGGATCAGGTGCGCATAAAAAAAATGTAAATTGTTCTTTAAATTTAAAGGAGAACTATGGGGTCGGGGCTTTTCTCCATAGTTCTTCTTAGGGTAACGGGAGGACACAAACTAGCGTCCTCCCGTCACCCTAAGCTCAGTATACCGCGAGCTGCAGCTCGCGGTATACTGAGACGCCGCAGCTGAAGCGGATCCAGCTGTACCCGCCCCCTCCCGTTCTGCCAGTCAGTGCTGGAGGATCGGAGCGGGGAGGGGGGAATCCAGCCCCTCCTCTGTCACGGCAGAGAGCCGTGACAGGATCGAGAAGTGAGCGAACGCCGGTACGTATTGCCAATGCATATAGACAGGAAGTGGCTGAAAAAAGGTGTCTGGATAACAGCAATACTGAGACACAAAAAGGGTGAAAACAGTATGTTTTAGAAATGGCAATTGTTTATTATGCCCAGTGCATTATTTAGAGGAAGAGACGTCTAGGAGCAGGGTATACTATGACATTGAGTGGACACAGTGCCAATGTGTATGTACTACACGCGGAGTTTAAATCTACCGCCCTAGGACATCACAGCTCCGCCCCTTCAATTAAACAATCTTTATTGACAACACAGCGAGAGGACTTCCCTCAACACGCATGCGCGCACTGGAGAGCGGCGTTGATCTCTCCACACATGAAGAAGCAGGGGATGCCCGGCTCCGGGGTGGCCGCTGACCGGCTCACCAAACCCAGCTGTCTGATTGTGTGCAGCGCTGTGAGTGGAGGTGAGACGGACGGGATCATGTGACCATATGTGCGGATAAGTCTGTGTCATGTGACTCGCGTTCTGTACGGCCACAGCCGACCTGTGTTGTGGGTGTGGCCAGTGTTCTGTACGGAATTGTAGCTGTATTCCGTAATGCCCGCCTCCGTTCATTATCAATGTATTCATTTTAGACGTGCATACAGAGTACCCACTGGCACATACATTCGATTACCAAGAGTATATAAGGTCCAGTGGCGAAACCAGAGTAACGGGCGCCCGGGGCAGAACAAAATGAGAGCATGTGGGACATATAATTGCAGGGATCCCAACCTGAAAGAAGCACTTTCAGGGAGGTGTCCCTCTCATTTCCGGGAGGTGCTCCCCCCCCCAGTTGTTACGCCACTGATAAGGTCTCATTCACACGGACGTGAAAAACACTGAGACTCCTCGGCCCAATAAGCTGGGGTCTGAGCACTCCAAAGCCACGCAGCCAGGGCTGTCCCTATAATGAGGTGGTTGCCTCAGGCGGAATCACATTCAGTCATTTGGGAAGGGGGGTCGGCAGGTGTGCATCCCCCCTTCCTTCCAACTTTGAAACTTGAAGATGCACTCCTAATTTTAGTGTCCCTTTAATTGCCAATATATGCAGATCGGAGGATACCCCTTTAATTTGCACGTACATTCTACCAAAAATATTGATACAATGTATTCATCAATAAAGCCTGCAAACATTGCAGGCTGTATTTACACAGGAGCTGCTGTCTGCAGAACATAGCCAAACTTGCCTGATAGGGCCAGTGTCTTGTTCACTTCAAGAAGGTTTTACGCCCCTTTACAAATCCATGGGAACGTAAAACCTGTCCAACTGCTGGTAATTTTACCTGTCACTTAATTGTGAATGAGCAAAAAAGAAAAGCAAACTGATGCCATGGAGGGCGGAGGAAGACCTGAATGCAGGTTCATGGGGGGGCGTTCCTCACATCCAAACTTTAGCAACAGTGGCATGAGCCATCATGGATCCCTGGGCTGTGGGCAGGTATCTGAATCACTCCACTGGATCCTCCATGTTGCCTCACAAGTCACCGGGTGGTATACTAATTGATGCTGCAGGAAATATGCATAGTGCACCACTTGTTTTCCCTATGACAGGAAAGTGTGCGCCCAGTTTTTGCAGAAATGTTGGCAACTATGGTTTCCGCAACACATGAAGGGCATTCATTGGGATTCAAGGCAGACAAAGGATTTCATTTCTGTGGTGCCAGGATCTGCTCTATGGATTCAGCAAAACATAGTACTGTAGATCATGTGTGTTGGATATGTGCCCAAAAGTTTTACTGATACTTCTAGTTCCACACCATCTACAAAGCTGAGGATGAGAATAACATGTAGGGATGCATCAATACTAGTATCGGTGCAGATACCCGAACTTCCGGTATCAGGAACCCGGGCAGCGAGTCATTACGCGCTGCCCTGCTATCTGGCAGCGTGTAATGACTCGATGCCTAGCTTCCTGATTGGTTGGCCAATCAGGAAGCCGGACGTTGAGTCATTACCCGCCCCCAGCCTTTCTGATTGGCCAGAAAGCCGGCGTCATGCTCCTTCGTCACCCAGTGACAAGGGAGCATGGAGCCGGCTTCCCAGCTAATAAGGAAGCTGGGTGCCGTGTAATGACTCGCTTCCTGATTGGTCAACGTGCCCGCTAGGGGGCGCGCGCGAGCAGAAAAAAATTGCCGCAGATGCTGCAGTGCCGTCCGTTCCTTTTTTTTACTACGGGCGGACGGCAAGAGGTTAATGGGACTTCCAGTATCAGTATTCGGTATCAGCAAGTAGCGGAAAAAAATCGGTACTCGATACCCGAAAAATATGTATCCGTGCATCCCTAATGACATGGGCTTATACTGTCTGTCTGTGAATAACTGCTTTCTGAAGGTTCGAATATTAGTTCTGTAGCGTCTTATTTGAACTGATCATTTTTGTTTTTGCATATTTTTCCTGAAGGTGTCTCAGCACCGTCGTTTGTTCAGACCTTTACTCTAGCAAGCTCAGCATTCAATCTTCAAGTGGCCTCTCCTGGGGTGAGTGGACAGTTTTAATAGATGATAGAAAATACTATCTAAAGATATATTTGACAAGTGTCATTTCATACTAGATTTAGAGTATTTGTATTTATGGCTCCATCATGTTCTACATCCTAGTCACAGGTGATTTGTACACCCAAATAGATACTTGGTAGTTTGTAGTAAAAAAACAACGTTCATGGGAACAGAGCGACGATTGTTTACCATCATAGGGAGCAGAACAAAAACAAAGAAGGGTGGGAATATTTTATTGCTTCTTATCGGAACGAACAAAATTCTAACGGTGAATGTGCTACTGCAGAAATTGTACTTATTGGAAAACACGTGTGCTAGGAAAAGTTTTGTTGTCACAACGTTCTTGTAAACAAATATACAGTATATGGTATGGGAATATATGAAATAAGAATAAGAACAAAGTTTTCTGTTTATCATATGCAAAATTTATTCTGTGAAGGCTTTTTGTGAATAGAGGAGGAGAGATCACGCCCACCCCTCCTCTCTCCTCCATTCACAGACAGCCTTGTATTCTGTGACAAAATACCAGGCTTTTTCTGTATGGGGGAGGAGAGGGTGTGAGTGCCACTGGGGCCCTTTACTGCCATAGCCACTTATCTCATCACTGCAGCACCCAGAAATCCAGTGCTTTGTGTAGGAGCCAGTTTGAAGCAAGGTAAGATTTTTATACTACACAGAAGCCCCCAACGCACAGTATACATATGATTACATTGCTATTGCAGTATCTTCAATTTTTTTTTCTGGAGTTCAGTTATAAGTAGATCCAAGTATATTTTATATCTCTAGTATAGCCAATGCATTCTAATGGGGTGATGCATATGCAGTATATTTCTAAACCCCAAAATAATTTGCATTACTCTAAAGTTGATTTAACCAGTTGACATCCGCGGTGTTAAACCCCCTTCCCATCCAGGCCAAACCGGCGGCGGCGTCCGCGCGCGGGTGGTTGTGTCCGAAAAAACGAGCACATATAGACGATCGGCGGGCTATGGAGCCGCCGATCGTCTATATGTGAAACAACCGGTAATGGGGGTTTGCATTGGTCGGGTCTTTTCTGCCCGGGCGTGCCCGCTAGGGGGCGACCCGCCAATGCTGCAGTGCCGTCCGTCCGTTTTTTTACAACGGGCGGACGGCAAGTGGTTAATAAACAATTTAAGGAACTTGTCCTAGTAAAGCACATGCACTGTGCTCAGGACTGCTTGAAAGAAGTTTTCTGGGGTAGAGTTCACTTGGAGTCCAGTAGAGTTTGCTTCAGTGTGAGTGCAAGCAGTGAAATCCGCTCACAGAACATGGAAGGAGGAATCGCTGTAGTCTTGCAGGCAGAGGAGATGATGTAAGCATGCCTGGGAACACTTTCTTATAGCACAGTGCGCGTACTCCCTAAGAAATCTCAGTGCTCATGTTACTATGGAAACCCAATGAATGACTTGCAGGGTAGCGTACAGCAGCTTCTGTACCAGGAGATAAGAATCTTTTACATTACAAAGAGCAGGGAGGGGAATTATGGCCATTTTGACTGTCATTATTCTCTGTGGCCCTTTCCTGTCCCCAAATCGTATATACTAAGCTGTGTGCTTGAAGTTTGCCGGAATGGAGTGCTGGGTATAATGGCAATGGACAGGCCACCCATTTGAGTATTACCAATCATGATGTAGAAGGCCTTATAGGCCTGAGGCTGGGAGGTTTATGGGGGTCTTGTTTAACTATGTAGATCTTTTTTTTAATTGGTCATTTCGTCTGTTGAGATACAGCAGATGAAATCTAAAAAAAACCTTGGATTCATTCTTGTCATAACTGATACCATGATAAAAACTAGGGATGCACCTATACCATTTTTTTAAGACCAAGTACAAGTATTTTCCCTCAGGTACTTGGCGATATCAATTACCAATACTTTTTCTTAAGGGGACATGTGATTTTTTTTTTCAAAACAATATAGAATAATGATTTTAGGGCAGTTTCTTTATAATTATGAAAAACTGTAACTCAATCCATGATTATACAGCACTGGAGAATGGCAAACACTAATAGAAGACTACAGATCCCATCAATCCATGATTATACAGCAATGGCCAATTGCAACCAGCTCACCTGGTCTGTGTGTGGTGTCACTAGGGCTGCGTTTGTGGGTGTCAACAGGGCTGTATGCGTGTGGCTTTCCAGGGCTGTACAGGCAAGTGTGGGGCTGTCCAGGGCTGTGCCGGTCTCGGGAAAGAGGAGATGTGATACCGGACCAGGCCTGCCAAAGACAGCTACCACAAGGTCCCAGCAGACTGCCTGAGGTCCCCAGCAAGCGCAGGACTTCAGGCAGCCAAAGTCATTTAAAGCGCCAGCGCTATGTATCGGCGTATTTTCGATAGTACAAGTACTCCTGAAAATGCCCTGTATCAGCACCGATACTAGCATCGGTATCTGTGCATCCCTAATCTGTGCAATCCCAAATTAAAATCGTACATAATTTTTACAAAATAATAAAAAAATTATTTTTTTTTACAGGGCAAGGCACTGGATTTTGTGGGAATCAATGAATCGGACACAAGATGGTTTCAGGAGTTCCAGTTGAAGCCGTATGCCAACCCAGCAAAACTGGAATCTATAGATGGTTAGATGTGTAATGTGCTGATATCCCGCTCTATAATGTACATAAACGTGGTACAATTTCAGATAAGTGATCCAAGTAAAATGTGACTTAGTAGCCTCTCCCTTTTGCAACAATTGAAATTTGTGGTTAAAAAAAAACAAATAACTAGAAAATGCTCCACTGTATTGTTACTTATCGTTTTCATGAACCCCCTCGATCTTCAGCAGAGGTTGTACAATCCATACACAGCCAGACACAGCAAGTAAATGTAGCACTGGGAACATGGTTACGCAATGGAAATGGCTGTGAGATGTAAGACATTCATTGTCTTTATTTTAAGAGCATTGGCTTCAATCAATACTCCTATTAGATATAAGCAGATAATCAGATGAACATGTCTAGCTTGGCCATTTCATTTCTAATTTTGATGTTGCTTTGGTAATTTTTCATTGGCTTTATCAAGGAAAATTCACAGCAAGGAGCTGTGAAACGAGCACATATAGACGATCAGCGGGCTATGGAGCCGCCGATCGTCTTTTTGGGAAACACCCGCTAACGGGTGTTTGCATTGGTCGGGTCTTTTCTGCCCGTGCGCGCCCGCGAGCAGGAAAAAAATGCCGCCTGGAGACGGCAACCCACCAATGCTGCAGTGCCGTCTGTCCGGTTTTTTACAACGGGCGGACAGCAAGTGGTTAAAGCGGGCCTTAAGCTGGCCATACACCTTACAATTATCTGCAGAATTTCTATGGCCAGATGGAAAATGTGTAACAGATTCCTCTATCTACGCTAAACTGTGTGGATGGAGGAATCTCCCACTGGGCCAAGCTTCAGTATCTTGCTGGTCGGCCCCGCTGGCTGTCAAAATACCTGAACAATCTGATTGGATGCAGACATTGTTCAGGTGTTTTGAGAGCCAGCGGGGCCGACTTGCGAGATACTGAAGCTTGGCCCAGTGAGAGATTACTCCATCCACACAGCTTAGAGTAGATGGAGGAATCTGTTGTACTTTTTCCATCTGACCACAGAAAATCTGCAGATAATTGTAAGGTGTATGGACACCTTTAGACTATACACTACAACTTGATTGTACATTTGCCTTTGGATTTACCAAAACTATGTAATGGGAGTTAATGGTACAATAAGATTATTTGTGAATGATCACCCTAAATTTCCAGCCAGTATTCTAAAGATAAGAAATGCATTATGCTTTGGGACGACATCCAATAATACTTCTGATGCAGTTACCAAAAAATTGCTAAAATAACCCCCTCAAAATGTACTCGCATACACTATTTAAAGGCTTTTTTACCTACCCACACTGGTTTCTGCATCCACGCATTACATCTAACATGCGGTGCGCTTTATCTGAGCACGCCTTTTAGCAGTTTAGGTGTGCTTTACCTAGATCATAGTTTTCTTCCTCCTAGGATACCTTGTTACTGCACCTTTAACAACCATAGTTCTTTCTGACCAATGTGCTGGAAGTCTAATGCCCATTGTTGAAGAAGAAAGCATGTTGGTTTAAATTAATTTTCTTTCCTTCTTAGGTTCTCGTTATCATGCACTTTTAATCCCACATTGCCCAGGGGCTATGACTGACTTGGCAAATAGTGGCTATCTGGCAAGGATTTTGCAGCACTTCAAAGCAGAAAAGAGTAAGTTCGGAGGGAAAGTAGAGCATTGCACAGTGCACTTATCTATCTATCCTATCCTATTCTATCTATCTATCTAATTTAAGTTCAGAACTCCATGTCTGTCTTTTTTTTTTTAATGGATGCAGTCATTTGTGTTTATTAAAAAATAAACTTCTAGAGAATCAATCTTTCATCAATAGCAGTGGGTTATAATGGGTCTGTGATCATATTAATAGATGCAACAGTGTTGCCTGCTTGTTCTTGTGTCTTATTCCATTTTTTTTTTTTTGGACCAAAACGTGACTGATCGGAGGTTCCATATGATACATTTGTAATACATACGGTGTGTTATTTGTGCCATAAATTAATTTATCTAAATCGCTGGCCTTAGAACTCCTGCACCAGAAATGGGCAAACCATGAACGCTGGTATACTCGTCTGCTGGAAGTGAACTGCTTTTCAGTGATTTGCTATTTTCTGGTTTTCTTCTAAAGAACCTGTCTGTGCCATTGGTCATGGTGTGACTGCCTTGTGTTGTGTTGTCGCTGACGATAATTCCTGGATATTTCAAGACTACAGTCTCACTGGGGTAAGCTAAACATCTTTTATAAACGGTTTAAGGCTGCAAAATACTAAAACTCTTAATACATTTCCTATCCTTTCTTTCTTGCCTTTTCCATGATAAAAAATGTTTTTATAGCTGGACTCCAATCAAAGAGCTTAATACACAGTGGAAATACATTATGTACTGTTTTACCTGCCAAAAGATTTAGAATACTGTTCAACCTGTCTTGTGATTCAACCACCTGTTCTAAAAAGCACTTCAGGTCCTGCCCACCTTAAGGCCTCATTCACATGACTAACAGCCGGCCCGTAGAGATGCGTGGTGCGTGCACGGCTGTATTGGGCCGCTCCCAGGAAGGACAGGTGCTGCGTGTGATATGTACGCAGCAGCCTGTTCTTCTCTATGGGAGTATGTGGCCGTACACTCACCCGAATTGCATGTCCGTGCTTGGATGCAGAGACGATCCATCCTGTCTGCGTACGACAGGAGCTTCCTGTAATAAAGACCGGTCACTGCTGCCCTCTCTCCTTGTGCAGAGTGGCGGGTCCTGTATCAGCCCCCTCCTGTAGTTTTCTGCAAGCAGCCTGTAGTGGGTGGACCTGCTGGCTCCCCTCCACAGCTCTCCTCTCTGCCTAAGCTATGTTTAGCACAGTGATGAAGTAGTCACTGCTATTTTTATATGGGAATATCTGGGTTGCAAAGGTGTTTATTGCACAGAAATTGGATTTATATCCACTGTTGCTGTGAAGGAATATATTTTAATAAATGTTTTTGAGCCCAGAGATCAACTATGGGGAGAAGGTTGGAACCTCTATAAGATTTTCTTTACTCTGTTTTTGTGTAGCTTTCCCTCCATTTTATGACCTAAAGACACTCTGTGGCACCCTGACACACAGGATGACAAGAATAAGGAGAGGTCTTCCCAGTGGTAATATAGATAGCAGTATAAACCTGGCAAAGATCTAACCATTCCCCTTGTGATAAAAAGTTACATTTATCGCTGATTGGGTCTTTGGAATCCATCCTGCTCTGGTGTAAAAGTCTGATAGGGGTTCTAACCCTTCCCCACTGTCTAGTTTTGGATAGAATTAATTTTGACTGGAGCTGGACTTTCATTTCATACCAAAAAAAGTAGGGCAAAAGTATGATGGTTATGTTGGACATGTTTTCTTCTCACAGGATCATACACGGTACTATAGTGACTTCAGTCTTTAACCAGTTCAGCTCTCACATCTATACACCCCATGTGGACCAGATCAATTTTTACATTTCTTCTATGGGCCTGTTTATTCGGCATTAACGTTGTCATTACTTAACATAACATAGTAAAATTAAAAAAAAAGAAATATATATACATATATATATATTTCTTTTTTTTTTATTTTTTTTACTTGTGTGGTTGCTTTAGCTGACATCATATACAGATTGAATGCTCATCCCTTTTATCTGCAGATGGATGAGCCAGTTGATACAGTAACAATGTTTTCTTGTATCTTTCACAGCAGCTGCTATTACATGGGCTGTATTTACACAGCAATTCCCAACCTCATTTTGCCAGCCCGGAATTGCTGTCAAGTGCGAGGGGGGCGATAGAAGCAGGGCAGAGGGACGGGGAATACTACATATGGCTCTGTGTACTTGAAATACATTTTTTTTAGGTGTGTGTAGCATGCCCAGTGCCAAAAACTGGTTAAAGACTGGAGTTTCTCCTTTTCTAAACAGAAGTGAAGCAATGAGTGCACTTCTTTGGAAATGTTACTGTTTACACCCACTTGTAAACTTGGTGTTTACAACTAAGCTGCATGATGATAAAAATATCTAGAAAGGATGTTGCTGACAATACCTGATTGTTTTGTTTTTTTCCTTTTAAAGGGACCCTGTCACCACCTGCTATTCTGCAATGTAAAGGCAGAAATGGAATCTGTATCAGGAGTACTTACAGAAACCCTGCCTGCGTCCGTGATGCAGCTCCATTCAGCATTCCTATTTTTGTGGTTATCCTACCACAACAGTTGCCTGCAGCATCTCCCTGACCCTTACATTATCAGATTTGCAACACACAAACAAAACTCTCATAAGATCAGCTACAAAAGCCACTGCATAGCAAATCATGACAGAGAACTTACTTGTTACTGCTGATTTTATGAGGGTTTACTTCATGCTTCTAAAATATTTTGGGGGGGAGGGGGGCTGTGATGGCCCATGCTCTCTATCTGCCACTCAAAAGTGTCGATTTTTGTAGAATTGTCACAAAGATAGCTGAATGAAGTCACAGCGGGATTTCTGTGGTTACTTCTAATATAGATTCCCTGCCTGCCTTTAGTTCTCAGAGCAGCAGGTGGTGACGGGGTCTGTAGGTATATAAACCATTACAAGGGAAAGAGTGATGGAATCTGTTAGAACCACTTTTAAACATGACACCCATATTCATGTTCACAACCTGTTTTGTATATCGTTCGTAGAATAGTATACCATATTGGGACTGTTACTCATGTTTTTTTCTCTGTTGGCCTTGCAATATTGTGACTTCAGCCTTCTGTATATGAGCTTGTCCGTCAGCCTGACTATGGCAGCCTGCCTCTTATCCTAGAAGACTTTGCTAAAGACGCCGGAGCAACATTCAGTGGTAAGTATGGAAAAGCATATTAAAGTTTTTATTATAGTGTACATGTGTTATCTTACTTTTTGAGGGCAATAGGACAGGGACCTTGTTCTATCTTCAGAACATCAGGGTAGCTCCAAAACATGGGTGCTCTATTATGCAGATATCCACAACAATTTCTATGGGTTATGCCTGGCTCACTTTCTTTTGCTCTTGCACCTCCTTTTTGTCACCAGATGTGAAGGGCTGTCTCGCTGGCCAATGGATAGAAATGAGGTGGAGAATCGATCCTCCACATTGAACATGCAAGCTTTGGACATTGTTGCATGATACAGATGCATTTCTCTATCCAAAGCATATTCAATCCTTCTAGATCCTTCTTGCAGTCTTGAAAGTAGTTGCTGTCCCTTACAGAGGCAAGTTATAAACAGGGGTCTAAAAGAGTCTGTTTTAGTGGTCACGTACTTTGTCTGTGTATGGCAATAGCAGTATTCACTTCAATTGACATTAAGCCTAGGAGTTAAATCTTAAAAAACATCCAAGTACCTTAACTATTAACAAAGCTGTATCTTGTTTGTGTATCACTCGGCTTTAGATCCTCAAATCATCTCTGACTTGGTGCTGACACTGTCCTTTCTTCTGGAGGGCGGCTACTTTTGTTCCCCATGATCCCTCTGTGTGTTGTATAGTAGCCACTGCTCCAAGCTCACTCCCATGATGGATTACAATCTCAATATAAATTAATAAACTAAACATGAGATTGTAGTCCATCACAGGAGCAAGCTTTTTGCAGTGACTACTTTACAACACACACAGGGACCATGGGGAACAAAAGTAGTCACCCTCAAGAAGGAAGGATAGTGTCCGCACCAATTCAGAGATGATTTCAGGATCTACAGCTGAGTGATACACGAATAAGATACATTTATGTTAATAGTTAGGGAACTTGAATGCATTTTTAAGATTTTAACGCCTGAGTTTAGTGTCACTTTAACTGCCCCCTCCTGATGTGCAGCTGGGGAGAAAGATAGATAACTGAAGTTTTTGCTTTACCCTACGGACAACGCAGTAAGACCATTTTGCACATGTACCACCAATTATTGTTGTCTGCTTGGATATCTCTTGGATGGGATGTTAGGTGACTGCATGGGTGTAAATGTTAAGCACTATGGGTGTATGAACAAATTGGTTGTCTGTAATATGCCTGGTACACTTCCACTGCTGGGGACAAACATTGGGTTTACCTAGCATTAAAATGAGAACATATGGATGCAGCTGGCATTTGTTCCAGTCTCCCAGCATGCCTTATGAGGGGCTCAGTGGAGCTCTGAACATGATTACATCTCTGTTATATTTATATTGCCTTTTAACTTCTGGGTTTAGTATGGATATAGAGATGTGCCGATATTTGCCATTTTCATGAAAACTACCCGGGTTGCAGCTGGGACAGGGCTCTGGGGTTCCACCACTGTCCTGAAATCATTAGTCTGTATTGTTTTAGAAAAACTGTCACAGGACACTAAGCAAAAATGTATCAGTAATTGTATTTGTGAGTACTTGGACAAGTATCGGTACTTGGTCTAGGAAAAAATGGTATTGGCGTATCCCAAATAAAAAAAAATATATAATTACTTCTGAAATCCTACATTAGAACAGAGATGCACAAATCCCAGTAGTCCCGTGTGCTGCTTAAAAATAACAGCTGCCTCCTAACTCTTGAGTTTTTCTCTAGTCTAGTCTACTAGCTCGAAAAGTATCTGTACTTGTAATGAGTACGGTACTTTGTATCTGAACATCCCTAGATTTAGTACAGTGCTAAGCCAATAAATGAATCCTGTAGGTTAGAAACCTTGCTCAGTGAAATAAAATAATCTCAATTAAACATCTTAACTGACTGACGTATCTGCTATCAGCCAGCGAGCCGGACGCTGTTCATGTTGTTCTGGACAGACATCTGATAACGGGACAGAATGAAAATTCCACAATGGCTGCTGTTCAGAATCTGATCTTGCTCTGCAATGGAAGGTTGGTGCCAGATTTCTATCTCTTTGCTCTTTGCCAGACGTGTACTGTATTGGACAGCTGAATTACGTTTCTAGTCTTTTTAATGTTGTTTAGATTTACGTAACCTACTCATACATCTGCCTGATGTTTAAAATACTTTGTTTTATGCATAATTTGTAATTATACTGTATATGCACTTGGGGAAGCAATAATAGCAGCTGATCTTATCTGTCTGTCTCCTAGATGGGTTCTGCCTGACATGACACCCATGATGCTTATGATAGTCAGAGACCACATGGTCTTCACTAAAGCTGGCCGTACACTTCTAGATTTATTTTGTTCAGCCCACAGGCTGAATGAAAGAAATCTTAACAGATTCCTCCACCCATGATAAACAGTATGGATAACCAAATCTCCCCTGCAGGGCTATTGTATTGTGACAGCCAGTGCCTGCTGCTGCTATCAGAATACCTGATCAGTGACTGCAGCTGATTAGGTGAATTTGCTGTTTGGCTGATGATTTTCCACCCAGCTCCTTTGGCAAAAGTGGGCTGAATAATTCACTTTTGTTGAGCTGGGTGGTGCCCGCAGGGCCACATATAGCTGAATTTTGGCTAAGTCAGCAGATCTGAGACAAAATTCAAGCAGCATATGGCCAGTTTAAAAGCTAGACTGCTTCGAAATTGTGTTTTTTTTTTGTTTGTTTTTTAAATTCTTGTATGGAAGCGGTACTTTTTACTTTTGCCGATGATGCGATTCAGTTTTGCTTACATTTTCTATCCGAATTCATGGGAAGTATAATTTTTAATAATCGGTCTATTATTAATTGGCAGTCTGCCAGCATGCATTTCCGTGAGGAAGCTGTCATTGCCATTGAAGTGTCGGTACACCTGTCTTATGCATGCTTGTTCAGAGCCAGTGAATCAGAAAGGAGATAAGTAAAGAGAAGGATGACAATCCCAGAAGCTGCACTTTAAGAAAATCATTAGCGGGTATTTCAGCCCTCTAATATTCAGGCAAAATCAGTTTTCAGTAGCTTGGCTCTAGCTATAAACTTATATTACACATCATATTCCTTTGTGAAATAGACAGAACTCATTTGCTTTACTTATAATTAGGTTGGTTTCAGTTAAAGGAGAACTATGGGGTTAGGGCTTTTCCCCATAGTTCTCCTAAGGGTAACTGGACGACACAAACTAGCGTCCTCCCGTCACCCTAAGCTCAGTATACCGCTAGCTACAGCTCGCGGTATACTGAGACGCCGCAGGTGAAACGGATCCCGACAATTATGTCTGGATCCGCCCAGCTGCGTGAGTGACAGCTGGCTCTGCCTATCTAGAGGCAGATCCAGCTGTACCCGCCCCCTCCCCCATCAGTTCTATGAGGTGGGTGAAAAGCACTCACCTCATAGTTCTCCTTTTTAATGGTTTTCTGAGCCAACACTGAAAACAGATGGAGAAGCAATCAGTCTAATGTATGGAAACTGATAAATACAAAAATGAAATACTACAGTTGTTTATAAGGTACAACTTGTATCGCAATAGGAATTAAGAATCTATATGTGGGAATAAGCCATTCGAGTCTATTGGTTGGGCAAAACCCCTTTTAGATGGGGCAAAGTATCATTGATTGGATGTCTGAATCAGATGTACTTTGTGGACACAGTATTACAGTAAAAGGAAGGAATAAATGATTATATTTGTAATGTAGAAGACCACACCTGTAATAATACTTCTAGGAACCACAGTTTCCTGGATGACTGGAAAGTCCGCCAATTAATGGAGCTTTGCAACACTACAGTAATGGTTTATCAGCAATAATTGAACGCTGTTTCTTTGTGTTTAGGAAATGAGATTGCAACAGAGAATTCATAATGATTTGATCTCAAATGGACAATCGGTGAGAAGAACTGAATCCTGATGTGACCAGAATATCATAAAGAGATAATAACCATTCCGCACTTACAGCATTGTGCTGACTGACCCAGGGAATGGGGAAATCGGGATTACAGCAGGAATAAACTGTACTGTGGACTGTAAATCTACTCGGACTCATACTGTGATTGCAGCAAATGTTCTGACTACTGTTCTAATGTATAGTACCAATTTACTGTAGGGAAGAGGAACGGAGGTATGGCCCATAGCGCCCAATAATCTCCATATTTCATCATCTGCTTACTGAGAATAGCCCCCAATAATTGCCATGTTTCATCATCTGGTTGCTCAGAATAGCCCCCAATGATCTCCATGTTTCATCATCTGGTTGCTCAGAATAGCCCCCAATAATCTCCATGTTTCATCATCTGGGTGCTGAGAATAGTCCCCAATAATCTCCATGTTTCATCATCTGGGTGCTGAGAATAGTCCCCAATAATTGCCATGTTTCATCATCTGGGTGCTGAGAATAGTCCCCAATAATTGCCATGTTTCATCATCTGGGTGCTGAGAATAGCCCCCAATAATCTCCATGTTTCATCATGCAGGTACTGAGAATAAAAGCCTGATTGGCTGCTATGGGCAAAGTTTTCCTTTTATTATTTTTCCAGCCAGCCACTCTTGCCTTTTTAAAATGTATTTCTACCTTTGCGGCCAAATTGGGGTAACGGCTATTTTATATTTATTACATGTTCTCATTCACATAACAAAACATCAACAAACAAAAATAGAATTACTTCTTATATATTACTAGTTTTCTCTAAACTGATTTTTTTTTTCTGGAATTCAAGCAGGCTGGTGAGTTAATGTTTACCATAATGAACACTGTCTGCAGATCTCATTGTCAGTTGTAAACTAGATTGGAACACTGTGTTAATAAAGGGTTAAAGTTCTAGAAGCATTGTATATTAATTAGAGGAATCTCAGAGTATCCCTAGTCTTTCTAGAGGGACAGCCAGAGTTTCTTGTCACTTTGAAATTGAAGAGAGGAGCTTGCAGTCTGTCCTCCCTAAAATATATTTAAATAAATATTTAAGGTATGCTGTGTGAATTGGAACACAACAAAAGTGGAAATACACTTTAAGAAGTAATTGAAAGGTCCCTCAATTCACTGCCTTTAAATTGACGCCAGCACATTATTGATGCTTTTAAGACATTTCCTCCTCTTCTCCCTCTTCTTTGTACATTCAAGGCAGATGTTGTAGTGTATGTCTGAAACATTTCAATAAATACACTCCTTAATAAATTATGTCTCCAAAGACTGGAAGGTGTAGTATTTGTCCTTACTTTTGGCTTGTACACAACAGGACTTACTATCTAAAACAGGACTAGATCAGAGCAATAGAACATCAGACTTCGGTTTTGGGAGGGTTAGCATCTGTCAGGTTTTTATACTGTGTCTGTTAAGGGGATTTTCCCGCCCTTCATATCCCAGTGATCATGTAGTGAGTAATCTTCCCAAAATGGACAGCAATAAAAACATTTTGTTAGAGTGGGCAAGGACAGGAAACCCTGTTGGATTTTTACTGCTGTCTGAGTCTGTAAAGATTTGATCGTGAAGAGGCAGGACATGCATACATTCAAGTGACTGTTAGCAGGACATGCATACATTCAAGTGACTGTTAGCAGGACATGCATACATTCAAGTGACTGTTAGCAGGAGATGCATACATTCAAGTCACTGTTAGCAGGACATGCATACATTCAAGTGACTGTTAGCAGGCCATGCATACATTCAAGTGCAAGAGTTTGCAAATTGCAGTATTACAGATTGCTCATAGATTTCCCAAGGGAAAAGATTGTAGCACATGACAGTTTGGGAAAACTCTAAATGTGTATGTCATAAAGTTTTCATCATGTTCTCTAATACATTTTATAAATTCTTGCAGAAACTGAAATCTGATTGACACGTAAAACTAGACTTCTCCTTTTGATATGTATTAGAAGAGATTTACAGTTTACTAGACTTCAATCTATTTTATCTTTTTATTATTTTCTCATAGCCTAGAAGAGACAGAACAATATACCTCTTTCTAGTATAACTGACATATATATTCGCTATATATCTTTAGCCAAATATCTGACCAAATTGTAAAATATACACACATTGGGGGGAATTTATCATAGCAATTGCGAGTGTTTGATCTTGCACAGAATATATTTGCACCAGATTTATGATGCTAGTGTATTTATGATGCTAGTGTAATGTTCATAAATGAGGTTTAATAGACTCCAGGAAAGAAGACTCGTAACTTCAGGCAAAAAGCTTAACTGTCGCTTCTTGAAGAAGTGGTCATGGGAACTTCTTAAGTTGTGATTGTATTCTTAGGTGATGCTCCAGTTTTCAGATAGCCCCAGAACAAGTGCAGATGAAAGCATGTGCAAAAAAACATGCAGTTGGAAAAGTAGTGCTAGCTCTGATGAAAACAGGGGCACATGTTAAAAGACAGATTTGCACATACAAAAAAATGATCATAGAGGCTAAAACTGTTGCAATTGCTTTGATAAATTCCCTCCATTGTGTTCACATTTTATCTGGTGTTGCCATGTATTCTTATCACCAGCATTTGACATATCATTAGTGCAGTATGTTGTCCTGTAGTGGACCAGCTGTAAATACATTGCCTGCCCAAAAAAGTCACACACTCTCTAATATTTTGTTGGACCACCTTTAGCTTTGATTACAGCATGCATTCGCTGTGGCAATGTTTCAATAAGCTTATGCAATGTCACAACATTTATTTCCAGAGTTGCATTATTTTTTCACCAAGATCTTGTAATGATGATGGGAGAGTCAGACCACTGTGTAAAGTCTTCTCCAGCACATCCCAAACATTTTCAATAGGGTTAAGGTCTGTATTGTGTGATGGCCAATCCATGTGTAAAAATTATGTTTCTTGCGCCCTGAACCACTCTTTTTCACAATTTTGAGCCTGATGAATCCTGGCATTGTCATCTTGGAATACACCCGTGCCATCAGGGAAGAAAAAAATTAATTTATGGGAAAAACCGGTCATTCAGTATATTCAGATAGGCAGACTTGACCAAAAGAAGCAACCCTATAGTCCTTACCTTTTTGCCTTCCTAAATCTAGGTGGTGATTTTTTTTGGCCAGGCAGTGTATAATCCCTATTATAGGTGTAATAGGATGCTGCGCTAGTTTTTCACTAATTATAGGATCATTTGCAGGAATAATGAAAGCCCTTCTGCAGGTTAGGGGTTGTCTCCTGCTTCTCAAGAATATCTCATAGAAGTTTATAGGGTTCTATTGGACATGTGTGAAACAATGAACATCCAGCCAACAGGAGGCAAACATTGCTGTGAGCCATGGCTTTAGGAACCTAACTATACAACATTGTAAGTATACCGCAAGTTAAAGTGAATCTATAGCCCACATTTTATTTTTAGTTATTGATAAAGTAGGGAAGGGTTAGAACTAATGTCAGATTTTACTTCTATCCGGGGGTCCTGTTGAAGAGTGTTTCCCTCACTTCCTGTTCTAGGGACAAGGTTTTACTAAACAGGAAGTGAGAGAAGATCTGCAATAGAAAAACACAACAGAAAATTGACAGGTTATAGCATTCCCCTACTTGACTTAACATAAAAAAAGTTTGCACATCTGTCTATGTTGCTGTTGCAGTGTTTCCTTCACTTCCTGTCTGGTGAAAATGTTGTCCCAAGTTGGAAAGGGAAATATCTTTAACGGAGTCCCTGACTGGAGTTGTTAACCTTCCCCCCAGAAAAAAAAAATGTTTTTGGCTATAGATAATTTAAGGCTGAGAAGGCTGGCCAAAAAGGGTACCTTACTTTAGTGAGGGTATACTTACCCTCTAAAGAAGACCCCTGGGACACTTTTTTTTTTTTTAACGTGCATTACCATTTATCAGTTTACAACTGATAATAGAGATATGCCAGCACAGTACAGGCAGGGTTAATCATGTTAAACACAATCCCATTTATAAACCGGGAAAACGAAGTAGGATTTTTCAGTCCTCACCTAAGATCATCTGAAAGGGTATATTGCAATTTTATCCACCCACCTGTCCTCTTGTTCATTCACAGAACTCCTTGTATTTTGTAAATGGTGGTGGACATGGGAAAAGGACAGTGTGATTTCTGTGTATGGGAGCCTCAGCCTTGGAAGTGTTCCACTGGCTCTTGACGCTGTTATGTTAACATTCAGGCGGAAAGGTTCTTTGTTATGACACTCCTTGCAAGAGAATAACAGTTTAAAAGCAAGATAACTGTGCTGCATGCCCTAAACACCTCCACTGTATACTTTTTTTTTAGCACACATTTCATTCTTGATATATAGTCCTGTACAGCATGGTGCTGGGTGTATATCTTCTTATGCCAAGAGATGGTCAGATGAAAACATCCAAGTGTGTAGCAATTGTTCATACCCAGACACTATCCACTTCTTAAATGAACCAGCTGAAAAACCTTTATTTATTGTCTATATTGAAGACTCAATGCATCGCTTTAATTTGCATAAATTACATTGAAAATGCAATGCCTATAAAACCGGTCATTTTAATAAGACAGCTAATTTCAATATCTATATGGGAAACATATTTGTGTTATGTTAAAAAAACAAACAAACATGGATTTTGCCCATCCCTCTAATCTGTGCTTATTTACACAATGTCTATAGGAGAGTAACATCCATCGGTATTCTGGTCATAGATCCACTAGAATATTCCTACGACGCACTCCAGAGAATGATTTCCTCACCAGTAATACCACTACAGCCACAACAGTGCCACCCAGGACCATTCCGATCACCAGCGCCGGGTAATTTGTCACAGCTATTGCAAAAGAAAAACCTGTAGTGAGAAATCTTATGTGTGTAAATTTCTGATTTGAAACTACTATATATTGTAGTCTAATGCCATGTACTGATATGGAGAGCGTGTTGCAAAATAGAACTCCAAGCAGTACAGAAAAAAATCATTTACAAATGAAACATATTGATTGGTGTTTTTGTTTATA